AAAACCGGCTCAAAAATCACCAAAAACCAGCCCAAAATCAGCCCAGAAACACCAGAAATACCCCACAAAACACCCCCAGAACAGCCCTGAGCTGTACCCCAAAAACACCCCAAAAATAGCCCAGAATACCCCAAAATACCCCAAAATACCCAGAATACCCCAGAATACCCAGAATAGCAAAAACAGCCCAAAACCAGCCCAAAAATCACCAAAAACCCGCCCAAAATCAGCCCAGAAACACAAAAATACCCCACAAAACACCCTCAGAACAGCCCTGAGCTGTACCCCAAAATACCCCAAAATAACCCAGAACACCCCAAAAAACCCCAAAATACCCCAAAATAGCAAAAACAGCCCAAAAACGGCTCAAAAAATCACCAAAAACCCGCCCAGAAACACCAAAAACACCCCCAGAACAGCCCTGAGCATCCCCTACGGCCCCACACGCCCCCCAGGTGCCCAAAACCACCCCAAAATACCCAAAATACCCAAAACCACCCAAAAAAACCCCAAAAAACCCCAAAATAGCAAAACCAGCCAAAAACGGCTCAAAAATCACCAAAAACCCGCCAAAATCAGCCCAGAAACACCAAAAATACCCCACAAAACCACCCCAGAAAACACCCCCAGAACACCAAAACCACCCCATAATTCCCCATTAAAACCTCATTAATTCCCCATTATTTCCCCATTAAAATCCCATTAATTCTCAATTAATTCACTATTAATTCCCCATTATTTCCCTGTTAATTCCCATTCATTCCCCATTAAAACCCTGCTAATTCCCTGTTAAAACCCCATTAAAATCCTATTAATTAATTCCCCATTAAAACCTCATTATTTGTCCATTCAAATCCATTAATTCCCCATTAAAATCCATTAATTCCCAATTAATTCACCATTAATTCCCCATTATTTCCCTGTTAATTCCCCATTCATTCCCATTTAAACTCTGTTAATTCCCTGTTAAAACCCCATTAAAATCCTATTAATTAGTTCCCCAATAAAACCTCATTATTTCCCCATTATTTCCCATTAAAATCCCATTAATTCCCAATTAAAATCCCATTAATTCCCAATTAATTCCCCATTAATTCCCCATTATTTCCCTGTTAATTCCCCATTCATTCCCCATTAAAACCCTGTTAATTCCCTGTTAAAACCCCATTAAAATCCTATTAATTAGTTCCCCAATAAAACCTCATTAATTCCCCATTACTTCCCCATCAAAATCCCATTAATACCCAATTAAAATCCATTAATTCCCAATTAATTCACCATTCATTCCCCATTAAAACCCTGCGAATTCCCTGTTAAAACCCCATTAAAATCCTATTAATTAATTCCCCATTAAAACCTCATTATTTCCCCATTAATTCCCCATTATTTCCCCATTCAAACCCCATTAATTCCCCATTCAATCCCCATTAAAACCCAATTAAAATCCCATTATTTCCCCATTAAAACCCCAATAAAATTCCATTATTTCTTCATTAGCTCCCTTTGAATTCCCAGTTAAAACCCCAATTTTCCCCCATTATTTCCCCAATAAAATCCCGTTAATTCCCCAATTAAAACCCCATTAATTCCCCATTAATTCCCAATTAATTCCCATTAATTCTCCATTAATTCCCCATTAATTCCCCATTAATTCCCCATTAATTCCCCATTAATTGTGCCTTGCAGGAACAGCCTGAACGAGTATTTCAAGGACAGCAGGAACGTGAAGAAGCTGAAGGACCCCAGTGAGAGCTGGGGGGGTTTGGGCAAATTTGGGCTTTTTTTTGGGAGGTTTTGGGCTTTTTGGGGTTTTTTTTGAGAACATTTTTGGGGAATTTTGAAGGTTTTTTTACATTAGTTTCAAGGGGTTTTTTTGGGCAGATTTTGAGGGGTTTTTGTCTTTTTTTTAGGGGGATTTTTGGGGGGTTTTAGGAGGATTTTGGATGGATTTAGGGAGATTTTGGGGGGGTTTTAGAGGGATTTTTGGGGCGGTTTTAGGAGGTTTTTGGGGCAATTTTTGGGGGATTTTTGGGGCGATTTTTGTGGGGATTTTGGGGCAGTTTTAGGAGGATTTTTGGGGCGATTTTAGTTTTTCTTTGGGGCGATTTTTGTGGGGATTTTTTTGGGCAGTTTTAGGGTATTTTTTGGGAGATTTTTGTGGGGATTTTTTAGGCTATTTTTGTGGGGATTTTGGGGTGGTTTTAGTTTCTCTTACGGGCGATTTTTCTGGGGATTTTGGGGCGATTTTTGTGGGGATTTTTGGGGCGATTTTTGTGGCGGATTTAGGGTATTTTGGGGGCGATTTTTCTGGGGATTTTTGGGGCAGTTTTAGGATATTTTTGGGGCGATTTTTGTGCGGATTTTGGGGCGATTTTTGTGGGGATTTTGGGGCGGTTTTAGTTTTTCTTTGGGGCAATTTTTGTGGGGATTTTTGGGGCGATTTTTGTGGCGGATTTAGGGTATTTTGGGGGCGATTTTTCTGGGGATTTTTGGGGCAGTTTTAGGATATTTTTGGGGCGATTTTTGTGCGGATTTTGGGGCGATTTTTGTGGGGATTTTGGGGCGGTTTTAGTTTTTCTTTGGGGCAATTTTGTGGGGATTTTTGGGGCGATTTTTGTGGGGATTTTTGTGGCGGATTTAGGGTATTTTTAGGGCGGTTTTTGTGGGGATTTTTTGGGCGGTTTTAGGAGATTTTTGGGTGATTTTTGTGGGATTTTGGGGCAGTTTTAAGGTATTTTTGGGCGATTTTTCTGGGGATTTTTGGGGCGGTTTTAGGAGATTTTTGGGCGATTTTTGTGGGGATTTTTGGGGCAGTTTTAGGGTATTTTTGGGGCGATTTTTGTGGGGGTTTTTGTGGTGGATTTAGGATATTTCTGGGGCGATTTTTGTGGGGATTTTTGGGGCGATTTTAGGAGGTTTTTTGGGGCGATTTTTGTGGGGATTTTGGGCAGTTTTAGTTTTTCTTGGGGGCGATTTTTGTGGGGATTTTGGGGTGGTTTTTAGGAGGTTTTTGGGGCGATTTTTCTGGGGATTTTTGGGGGGTTTTAGGAGGTTTTTTGGGGCGGTTTAGGAGGATTTTTGGGCAGTTTTAGGAGGTTTTTTTGGGGTGATTTTTCTGGGGATTTTTGTGGCGGATTTAGGGTATTTTGGGGGCGATTTTTGTGGGGATTTTTGGGGCAGTTTTAGGATATTTTTGGGGCGATTTTTGTGATGATTTTTTGGGGCAGTTTTAGATATTTTTGGGGCGATTTTTGTGATGATTTTTTGGGGCAGTTTTAGGATATTTTTGTGGGATTTTTGGGGCGGTTTTAGGATATTTCTGGGGCGATTTTTGTGCGGATTTTGGGGCAGTTTTAGGATATTTTTGTGGGGATTTTTGGGGCAGTTTTAGGATATTTTTGTGGGGATTTGGGGCAGTTTTAAGGTATCCTTGCTGTGACTTTTTCCACCATTCTGATATTTGCCCCCTCTCCCCGGGCAGCCATGCGCTTCAAGCTGCTCAAGCACACCCGGCTGAACGTGGTGGCGTTTCTGAACGAGCTGCCCAAGACCCAGCACGACGTCAACTCCTTCGTGGTGGACATTTGTGCCCAGACGGTGAGGGGGGCCCAGACCCGGCAATTCCTGGCAATTCCTGGCAATTCCTGGCAATTCCTGGCAATTCCCGGCAATTCCTGGGAATTCTGGCCGCCCTGGGCCCCCTGACCCCCCCTGTGTTCCAGAACACGCTGCTCTGCTTCACCGTCCACGGCATCTTCAAGGAAGGTCAGTGCCCCTTGCAGTTTCCTTTTTTTCCTCTCTGTTTTCTTCATTCTTTTCCTGTTTCTTCCTCCTTTTTTCCTATTTTTTCCCTTATTTTTCTTCCTTTCTTCCTCTTTTTTCCTCTTTTTTTTCCTCCTTTTTCTTCCTTTTCCTCCTTTCCCTCTTTTTCCCTCCTTTTTCCCTCTTTTTCTATCCTTTTTCCTATTTTCCTCCTTTTTCTTCCTTTTTCCTCCTTTTCCCTCTTTTTCCTTCTTTTTTTCCTATTTTTCCCTATTTTTCCTCTTTTTTCAATTTTTTTCTACTTTTTTCTCTCTTTTTTCCTCCTTTTTCCTCGTTTTTCCTCCTTTTTCCTCCTTTTTCTTCCTTTTTCCTCCTTTTCCCTCTTTTTCCTTCTTTTTTCCTATTTTTCCCTATTATTCCTCTTTTTTCATTTTTTTTTCTACTTTTTTCTCTCTTTTTTCCTCCTTTTTCCTCCTTTTTCTTCTTTTCTCCTCCCTTTCCCCTTTTTTCTCCTTTTTTCCTATTTTTTCCTTGTTTTCCTCTTTTTCCCCCCTTTTTCCTATTTCTCCCTACTTTTCCCTACTTTTCCCTATTTTTCCTTTTTTGTTCATCTTTTTTCTCCTTTTTCACCCCCCATTTTCTTTATTCCCCCCAATTTTTTTTTCTCCTTTTTTCCCCTTCCCCCCCCCCAATTTTTCTCCCCACATTTTCCTTATCCCCTCTCCCATTTTCCCCCATTTCTTTCCCATTTCTTTCCCATTTCTTTCCCATTTTTGCCCCTTTCCCCCCATTTCTTTCCCATTTCTTTCCCATTTCTTTCCCATTTTTTTGCCCATTTTTCCCCCATTTCTTTCCCATTTTTTCCCCATTTCTTTCCCATTTTTTTGCCCATTTTTTCCCCCATTTCTTTCCCATTTCTTTCCCATTTCTTTCCCATTTTTTTGCCCATTTTCCCCCCATTTCTTTCCCATTTTTTCCCCATTTCTTTCCCATTTTTTTTGCCCATTTTTCCCCCATTTCTTTCCCATTTTTTCCCCATTTCTTTCCCATTTTTTTTGCCCATTTTTCCCCCATTTCTTTCCCATTTTTTCCCCATTTCTTTCCCATTTTTTTGCCCCTTTTTCCCCCCATTTTCCCCCATTTCCTCACCTGCTCTCTGTGCCTGCAGTGGATGGGAAGTCCCGGGACTCTGTTCGGGCCTTCACGCGGATGTTCATCGCGGTGCCGGCCGGGAACAGCGGGTCAGAGCCTCAACCCCCTGGGCCGGGGCCTAAAAACCCCCTAAAACCCCTGGTTTTACCCTAAATCCCCTGGTTTTACCCTAAATCCCCTGGTCTGGCCCTAAATCCCCTGGGCTGGGGCATAAGCCCCCCCTAAACCCCCTGAATTTACCCTAAACCCCCTGGTTTTACCCTAAACCCCCTGGTTTTACCCTAAACCCCCTGGGCTGCCCCTAACCCCCCTGGTTTTTCTCCCCTGAATCCTCTGTTTCCTCCATCCAATCCCCAATTTCCCCCAAAACCCCATTTCCCCCCACAAAACCCCAATTTCTCCCCCCAAATCCTGATTTCCCCTCCTCAAATCCTCATTTCTCTCCCCTAAATCCCATTCCTGCCCCCTAAACCCCATTTTCCCCCCCCCAACCCCCAAATTTTTCCCTGAAAACCTCATTTTTCCCCTTAAATCCTGATTTTTTTCCCGCAAACTCCAATTTTTCCCCAAACCCCCATTTCTCCCCCCAAACCCCCATTTTTCCTTCCCAAACCCCATTTTTTTCCTCTAAATCTCATTTTTCCCCTCCCAAACCCCACTTTTTCCCCTTGAATCCTGATTTTCCCCCTCAATCCCTTTCTTTTCCACCAAACCCCAATTTTCTTTCCCCCAAACCCCCAATTTTTCTCCTTAAATCCCCAATTTCCTCCAAACCCCCATTTTCTCCCCCAATTTTTCCCCTTAAATCCCCCATTTCCCCCCCTCCCAAACCCCCATTTTTCTCCCCCAATTTTCCCCTTAAATCCCCAATTTCCCCCCTTCCAAACCCCCATTTTTCTCCCCCAATTTTCCCCTTAAATCCCAATTCCCCCCTCCCAAACCCCCATTTTTCTCCCCCAATTTTTCCCCTTAAATCCCCAATTTCCCCCCTCCCAAACCCCCATTTTTCTCCCCCAATTTTCCCTCTTAAATCCCCAATTTCCTCCCTCCCAAACCCCCATTTTTCTCCCCCAATTTTTCCCTTTAAATCCCCAATTTCCCCCCTCCCAAACCCCCATTTTTCTCCCCCAATTTTCCCCCTCCCAAAACCCCCATTTTTCTCCCCCAGTTTTTCCCCTTAAATCCCCAATTTCCCCCCTCCCAAACCCCCATTTTTCTCCCCCAATTTTCCCCTTAAATCCCCAATTCCCCCCCTCCCAAACCCCCATTTTTCTCCCCCAATTTTCCCCCTTAAATCCCCCATTTCCCCCCTCCCAAACCCCCATTTTTCTCCCCCAATTTTCCCCTTAAATCCCCCATTTCCCCTCCCAAACCCCCATTTTTCCTTCCCCAAACCCCATTTTTTTTTCTCCCCAAACCCCACATTTTCCCCTGGAATCCCGGGGGTGTTTTATTTCCCCTCCAACCCGCGTTGCCCAGGCTGTGCATCGTGAACGACGAGCTGTTCGTGCGCGGGGCCAGCCCCGAGGAGCTGCGCAAAGCCTTCGCCCTGCCCGCCCCCACGCCCTCCTCCAGCCCCGTGCCCACCCTGACGGCCGAGCAGCAGGAGATGCTGGCGGCCTTCGCCATGCAGTCGGGCATGAACCTCGAGTGGTCCCAGAAGTGAGTACAAAACACACGAAATCCGCCCCAAAAAACAAAAAAAATGACCCTGAAACACCCTGAAAATGGCTCGAATATCCCTTCAAAAATCGATCAAAAATCCCTTCAAAAAGCGATCAAAAATCCCTTCAAAGATCACTCAAAAATTCCCCTGAAAATGGCTCAAAATTCCCTTCAAAAATCGATCCAAAATCCCTTCAAAAATCACTCAAAAATTTCTCCAAAAATGGCTCAAAAAATCCCTTCAAAATCGATCCAAAATCCCCCTGAAAATGACTCGAAAATCCCTTCAGAAGTTGCTCAAAAATCACTCCAAAAATGGCTCAAAAATCCCTTCCAAAATCGATAAAAAATCCCTTCAAAACTCATTCAAAAATTGCTCCAAAAATGGCTCGAAAATCCCTTCTAAAAATGCCTCAAAAATCCCTTCAAAAATCACTCAAAAATCCCCATGAAATTCACTCAAAAATTGCTCCCAAAATGGCTCAAAATTCCCTTCCAAAAATGGCTCAAAAATCCCCTAAAAATCGTGTAAAAATCGCCCCGAGCAGCAGGAGATGCTGGCGGCCTTCGCCATGCAGTCGGGCATGAACCTCGAGTGGTCCCAGAAGTGAGTACAAAACACACGGAATTCGCCCCAAAAAACCAAAAAAAATGACCCTGGAACACCCTGAAAATGGTCCGAAAATGCCTTCAAAAATCACTCAAAAATCCCTTCAAAAAGCGATCAAAATCCCTTCAAAGATCACTCAAAAATTCCCCTGAAAACGGCTCAAAATTCCCTTCAAAAATGGCTCGAAAATTCCCCATGAAATTCACTCAAAAATTGCTCCAAAAATGCTCAAAAATCCCTTCAAAAATCGATCCAAAATCCCTTCAAAAATTGCTCGAAAAATGGCTCAAAAATCCCTTTCAAAATGGCTCAAAAATCCCTCAAAAATGGCTCAAAAATCCCCTGAAGATGACTCAAATACCCCTTCAAAAATGGCTCGAAAATCCCTTCTAAAAATGGCTCAACAATCCCTCCAAAAATCACTCAAAATTCCCCTGAAATTCACTCAAAAATCCCTTCAAAAATCACTCAAAAATTCCCCTGAAAGTGGCTCAAAATTCCCTTCAAAAATGGCTCAAAAATCCCTCTGAAAATGGCTCAAAATTCCCTTCCAAAATGGCTCAAAAATCCCCTAAAAATCGTGTAAAAATCCCCCGAGCAGCAGGAGATGCTGGCGGCCTTCGCCATGCAGTCGGGCATGAACCTCGAGTGGTCCCAGAAGTGAGTACAAAACACATGGAATTCGCCCCAAAAAACCAAACAAAATGACCCTGAAACACCCTGAAAATGGTCCAAAAATCCCTTCAAAAATCCCTTCAAAAAGCGATCAAAAATCCCTTCAAAGATCACTCAAAAATTCCCCTGAAAATGGCTCAAAATTCCCTTCAAAAATGGCCCGAAAATTCCCCATGAAATTCAGTCAAAAATTGCTCCAAAAATGGCTCAAAAATCCCTTCAAAAATCGATCAAAAATCCCCCTGAAAATGGCTCGAAAATCCCTTCAGAAGTTGCTCAAAAATCACTCCAAAAATGGCTCAAAAATCCCTTCCAAAATCGATAAAAAATCCCTTCAAAACTCATTCAAAAATTGCTCCCAAAAATGGCTCGAAAATCCCTTCAAAAATGGCTCGAAAATCCCTTCTAAAAATGCCTCAAAAATCCTTCAAAAATCACTCAAAAATCCCCATGAAATTCACTCAAAAATTGCTCCCAAAATGGCTCAAAATTCCCTTCCAAAATGGCTCAAAAATCCCCTAAAAATCGTGTAAAAATCGCCCCGAGCAGCAGGAGATGCTGGCGGCCTTCGCCATGCAGTCGGGCATGAACCTCGAGTGGTCCCAGAAGTGAGTACAAAATACACGAAATTGGCCCCAAAAAAACAAAAAAAATGACCCTGAAACACCCTGAAAATGGTCCGAAAATGCCTTCAAAAATCACTCAAAAATCCCTTCAAAAAGCGATCAAAAATCCCTTCAAAGATCACTCAAAAATTCCCCTGAATATGGCTCAAAATTCCCTTCAAAAATAGCCCGAAAATTCCCCATGAAATTCACTCAAAAATTGCTCCAAAAATGGCTCAAAAATCCCTTCAAAAATCGATCAAAAATCCCCCTGAAAATGACTTGAAAATCCCTTCAGAAGTTGCTCAAAAATCACTCCAAAAATGGCTCCAAAAATCCCTTCCAAAATCGATAAAAAATCCCTTCAAAACTCATTCAAAAATTGCTCCAAAAATGGCTCGAAAATCCCTTCAAAAATGGCTCAAAAATCACTCCAAAAATGGCTCAAAAATCCCTTCCAAAATCGATAAAAAATCCCTTCAAAACTCATTCAAAAATTGCTCGAAAAATGGCTCGAAAATCCCTTCAAAAATGGCTCAAAAATCCCTTCAAAACTCATTCAAAATTGCTCGAAAAATGGCTCGAAAATCCCTTCAAAAATGGCTCGAAAATCCCTTCCAAAAATGGCTCAAAAATCCCTCCAAAAATGGCTCAAAAATCCCCATGAAATCCCTTCAAGAATCCCTTCAAAATCACTCAAAAATTCCCCTGAAAGTGGCTCAAAATTCCCTTCTAAAATGGCTCAAAAATCCCTCCAAAAATGGCTCAAAAATCCCCATGAAATTCACTCAAAAATTGCTCCAAAAATGCCTCAAAAATGCCTTCAAAAATGGCTCAAAAATCCCTTCAAAAATGGCTCGAAAATCCCCCTGAAAATGGCTCGAAAATCCCTTCAAAAGTTGCTCAAAAATCACTCCAAAAATGGCTTAAAAATCGCTCCACATTCCCTTCAAAACAGCTCAAAGATGGCTCAAAATTCCTCCAAAAATGGTTTAAAATTCCCTTCAAAATGACTTAAAAATTCCCCCTGAAAATGGCTCAAAATTCCCTTCAAAAATCAATCAAAAATCCCTTCAAAAATCACTTAAAAATTCCCCTAAAAATGGCTCAAAATTCCCTCCAAAAATGGCTCAAAAATCCCCCTGAAGATGACTCGAAAATCCCTTCAAAATCACTCAAAAATTCCCCTGAAAATGGCTCAAAATTCCCTTCAAAAATGTCTCAAAAATCCCCATGAAATTCACTCAAAAATTGCTCCAAAAATGGCTCAAAATTCCCTCCAAAATGGCTCAAAAATCCCCATGAATTTCACTCAAAATTCCTTCAAAAATGGCTCAATGAACACCCAATAATCCTTTAAAAATTCCCTAAAAATCCCTCCAAAAAATCTCAGAAATCTCCCCAAGAATCGCCCTGAATAAGCCTGAAAATCCCCTGAAAAACCCAAAAAATCTTAAAATAACCCCAAAATCCCCCCGGTGTTTCTCAGGTGCCTCCAGGACAACGACTGGGATTACGGCCAGGCCGGGCCAGGTCTTCACCCAGCTCAAGGTCAGCTTTTCCCCATTATTACCCCCATTTTTCCCCTTTATTTTCCTTGTTATTTTCCTGTTATTCCGCATTTTTCCCCGTTCTCACCCCATTATTTCGTGTTATTTCCCATTCTCCCCCATTTTTTCCCGTTATTTCCTGTTCTTTTCCCATTTTCCCCGTTCTCACCCCATTTTTTCCTGTTATTTCCCCGTTATTTCCCGTTTTTCCTGGTTTTCACCCCATTTTCCCATTTTTTCCTGTTATTCCCGCCCCAGCTGGAAGGGAAGATTCCGGAAGTCGCTTTTCTCAAGTGAACGTTGGAGCTCCCCGCCCCCCTCCCCGGGCCCCGGTCCCGTGTTCGAGTCCTTTCGATGCCCCCGAGTTTTGTAAATAAACCGATCGATTATTGATTATTGATTAATTAATTATTAATTGCTGATTATTAATTATTGCCCGCGGCGCCTTTAAGAGGGGGGGCGATAAGGGCAGGGCGGGAACGCGCCAGCAAAAAAGATGGCGGCGAGGGTGAGGCGGAATCTGATTGGTTGCATTCGGAATTGGCGCCACAGCCCATTGGCTGAGCCGCTAGGTGCAATCTGATTGGCTGCAACTCCTCTCTCGCCCCATCCGATTGGCTCATGCCCTGCGTGCCCCGGAAGTACCGGCGGCCGCCCGGCATGGCGGCGCGGGCGGCGCTGGAGGTGGCGGCGGCGGCGGCGGCGCGGGACGTGGTTCTGTACGAGCACGACCGCGGCCGCTTCTTCCGCCTCGTGGGGCTCTTCTGCGCCAGCCAGGGCCTCTTCTGGGCCTACCTGGCGCACTTCGCCTTCACCTCACTCGCGCCCGGTGCCCGCTCCCGCTGCCGGTGCCGGTGCCGATGACCCGCTGCGCCCCCGCGACAACAAATGGCGCTTTGGTTCACGGCGTCCTGCCTCACCGTCGGTACCGAGGGAGCGGGAACCGGGGGGGAACCGGGGGAGGGACCGGGGACACACCGGGGTCACTCCAGGGTCACACCCGGGGCAGGGGAAGGGCACCGGGGCTGTCACCGGATGTGGGGGGCCGGGACTGAGATGGAAGCGGGGGAAACCGGGACTGAACCGGGATTGGGGCGGGGGGAACCGGGACTGAACCGGGCTCGGGGAAGGGCACCGGGACTAAATTGGGCTCGGCGGAGGGGACCGGGGCTCACACCGGGGCTCAGGGAAGTGAACCGGGGTCACACCGGGTACGGGGAGGACACGGGGCTCTCACGGGCGGGGTCGGTTCCCCCTCCCCGTTGCCATGCCCACGGTTTCCCCGGTCTCTCCGGTGCCCAGGCTCGCTGACGGTGGCCGCGGGCTGGCTGCTGCCGCTGCGCTCGGTGGCGCGGCTGACGCTGCTGCGGGGCGGGGCCGCCGTGACCATCGGGACCCCGGGGCCGCTCGGCATCGGGCACCGGACGCTGACGGTGCCGCTCCGGGACGTGAGCGGCGCCGCCCACCGGAGCGAGGCCGCGGCCGCGGTGCCCATCCGGGTCCGGGGCCGCCCGTTCTTCTTCCTGATGGACAAACGGGGAAACCTCCGGGAACCGCGGCTCTTCGATGTCACCGTGGGGGCGGCCAGGAAGCTCTAGGGACACCGGGACACCGGGGGGACACCGGGACACTGGGGGACACCGGGACATGGAGGGGACCCTGGGGGGACACCGGGACAATGGGGACATGGGAAGAACATGTGGTGGTGGCACCTCCTGTCACCCAGTGTCACCTGACGTCACCTGCTGTCACCTGTGGTCAACGTCCTGTCCCCCGGTGTCCCCTCCCACCCCCGTACAGCACGGCCGTGGGGACAGCGCCGTTGTCCCAGCCTGTCCCAAACTGTCACAAACTGTCCCCTGTGACCCCCAAAATAAATTGGGGACCCCCCCTCTCTGACGAGGGGATTTTTGGGGGTCCCCACCAGGATTTTGTCACTTTTGTCACTTTGTGTCACCCCACAAACCCTGGGACCATCGTTTTGGAGGGGGGGATTTGGGGTCTCGCCTGTCCTGGGGGGGAATTTGGGGTCCCAACTCCCCCCCCCCACACCTGGGAGAGGTTTTGGGGTGTTTAGGATGAAGGGGGCGGGGTCACGAGGGGCCAATTTTGGGGTTTTGGGGTTATTTTGGGAGTCCACGGGGCCAATTTTGGGGTTTTGGGGTTATTTTGGGGGTCCCCAGGGCCAATTTTGGGGTTTTGGGGTTATTTTGGGGTCCCCCGGCTCCGTGGACGGGAAGGTGGGACCCCAATGGGGACAACGGCGAGGGCGGGGCAGCGCGAATGCAAATGAGCGGCCGGATAATTAACATAATATCATAGAGGGGCGGGGCTTGTGCGATAAGGGCGCGGTTATGCTAATCAAACCGTAATGGTAAAGAGGCGGGGCGAATGCAAATAAAGAGGCGCAGCCGCCAATCGCGTTGCGAGGCGGGGGAAAAGGCAATGGGCGGGGTTATAATCGATCGGTTTGCATAAGGGGGCGGTGTTATGCAGATTAAGGGAGGTGCCACGGGCGAAATGCATGCTGGGATGATTTTTGGGGAGAATTTCGGGGTTTTTGGGGGCCTGATCTTGCGGGACGCGGGAGGAAAGTGCGGGATGCGATGGAGAGAATGTTCCAGAAGGGGTCGGGAGCGGTCGGAGCGCGGCGCGGGGGCGGCCGTGAGGTGCGGGCGGGCCGGGCGGGGCGGGAGCGGCGCTGGGGGCAGGGGCCGGTATCGCTTCTCGGCCTTTTGGCTAAGATCAAGTGTAGTATCTGTTCTTATCAGTTTAATATCTGATACGTCCTCGATGAGAGGACTTTATATTAAACGGATTTTTGGGCTCGGGAGTTGGACCGGAGCTTGCTCCCTCCGCTCCGCGCATCGTCCCGGTATTGCAGTGCCTCCGGGAACGGTGCACCCCCACACCGGGGACCTTTCACTGGTCAAAAATAGATTAAAAACCAACCTAAATCGTGACTATATCGCGATATCAGCCGTGATTCCCCTCCCCGCACACCCTTGGCAGTGCATTCGCTCCGTGCTGTGTACATTGTCCCGCTATCGCGGTGCCTCCGGGAACGGTACGGCCCCAACCGGGGACATTTCGTTGGTGAAAAATAGATTTAAAATACTCAATATCGTGATTCTATCACAATATCAACCCCACCGTCCCAGTATTGCAGCGCCTCCGGAAACGGTGCACCCCTAATGGGGAACTGGATGGTGAAAAATAGGTTAAAATAATCAAATATCGTGATTATATCGCGATAGGAACCCCATGGTCCTGGTATTGCAGCGCCTCCGGGAACGGTGCACCCCAACCAGAGACCTTCCAATGGTGAAAACCAGATTGGAAACTCCTTATATCGCAATTATATCACGATAGCAGCCCGGTGCACCCCCGATGGGGACGTTTAATGTGAAAAATAGATTAAATTGTGATTATATCATGATAGCAGCCACATCATCCCAGTATTGCAGTGCCTCAAAAAAAGCTGAAATTTCTCCAAAATCACCAAATTTTGCGTCTCTATCGCGACGTTTGCGCTTTTTTGGCCTCGCTGTCGCTCCCAGGTGGTTCCAGGCGGCGCCTCCGGGAACAGGGAACCCCAAGGAGGAACCTCGGGTGGTCAAAAATCGCTGGGAAACGTTGAATAATCGCGATTGTCACATTTATATCGCGATATTATTGCAATGATATCGCGATAGCAGCCACGCTGCCATGGCTGGGTGTCGCTCCTGGAGCCTCTCTCTGCTCCGCCCATCATCCCAGTTTAATCAGTCACGCTAAATTAATTAATCAAAACCAGGTTAAATTAATAAATAATAAATAATAAATAATAATTAGTAATTAGTAATTAATATTTATCGTCGCTGTATCGCGATTCAGTGACGTCGTTATCGCCTCAAAAATCCGGCAGAGACCCCTCCCCAAATTTGCCTGCTGGGGGTAACCCTGCTAATTACCGAGGTGCTAATTAACATAATTAATTAACCGCTGGGGGCGGGGCTAAACCCTTGAGGGGCGGAGCTAAAGATTTAAAGGGGCCGCACCCCAAAAATCCCTTTGTGCTCTCCCCACCCACCCCAGCACCCCCAGCCCCAATTTCCCCCAAAATTCCCGTTTTTTTTCTCCAAAACCCCAAAATTCCGTTTATTTCCCTCATTTTGGACGTTATATACAGCGGGGGAGGGGGCCTGGGGGGTTTTGGGGGTCCTGGGACCCCTCAAAGCCCCGAAATTTTCCTTTTCTTGCTCTTTTTGGGGGTGGGGATGGACTCGAGCGCGTCCCACAGCTCGTCCCCCTCCTCGTCCTTCACCCCTTTTTGGGGAGGGGGCTCCTCCTGGCCTGGGGGAGGGGGAAATGGGGGGGTTAAAAGGGTGGGGGGGCACCCCCAGACCCCCCAGCGCCGATTTGGGGTGGGGTCTCACCTCCCAGTCCAGGTGTGTGTTCAGCAGGAGGCAGGTGAGGCGCGACTTCAGGTACACCTGGGGGACAGGGGGGGGTTTGGGGGGGCTCAGGGCATTTTGGGGGTTTTTTTGGGGGGTTTTGGGGTCAATCTCAGGAATTTAGGGGGCCCTGAGGGGGGGTTTTGGGGGATATTTTTAGGGGGGTTGAGCGGGTTTTGGGTTTTTTGGGGGGGTTTGGGGTCAATGTCAGGAATTTGGGGAGGTCCTGGGGGGATTTGGGGGGGGTCTCAGGGTTTTGGGGTGTTCTGAGGGGGGCTCTGGGGGATTTGGGGGGTCCCAAGGGTTCCCAGAAGGATTTGGGATGGTTTTGGGGTGTCCCAGGAGGTTTTGGGGTGGTTTTGGGGAGTCCCAGGAGTTTGGGGGAATTTTGGGGGGTCCCAGGGATTTTGAGGTGGTTTTGGGGTGGTTTTAGGGGGGAGTCCCAGGAGTTTGGGGGTGGTTTTAGGGTGTCCCATGGGTTTTGGGGGTGTCCCGGGGGTTTTTGGGGTGATTTTGGGGTGATTTTGGGTGATTTTGGGGGGGTTTTTGGGGTGATTTTGGGGGTTTTTGGGGTGATTTTGGGGTGATTTTGGGGTGTTTTTGGGGTGATTTTGGGGTGTTTTGGGTCCCACCTTGTGGCACAGGTGCCCGTCCAGCCGGTGCAGGCGCAGGAAGCGATCGAGGCCCACGGAGGCCACGAGGGGCAGGCGGGGGTGGCACTGCAGCCCCCGGACCCCCCCAGCAAAGCCCTTGAGGGCCCTCAGGACCCGCCCTGGGGGGACACGGGGGGGTCAGGGGGCACAGACCCCCGGGACCCCCACAAAACCCACCCAGGATCCACAAAATCCCAAAAAATCCCCCAAAAACCCACCCAGGAACCCAAAAATCCCACAAAATCCCCCCAAAACCCACCCAGGACCCCCAAAATCCAACAAAATCCCCCCAAAACCACCCAGGATCCACAAAATCCCACAAAATCCCCCCAAAACCCACCCAGGACCCACAAAATCCCAAAAAATCCCCCCAAAAACCCACCCAGGAACCCAAAAATCCCACAAAATCCACCCAGGACCCCCAAAATCCCCCTCGGGACCCCCTCAAAATCCACCCAGGACCCACAAAATCCCCCCCCAAAACCCACCCAGAGCCCCCAAAATCCACAAAATCCACCCAGGACCCCCAAAATCCCACAAAATCCCCCCCAAATCCCACCCAGGACCCCAAAAATCCCACAAAATCCCCCCAAAACCCACCCAGGACCCCCAAAATCTCCCCCAAAATCCCCCCCAAAACCCACCCAGAGCCCCCAAAATCCCACAAAATCCACCCAGGACCCCAAAAATCCCACAAAATCCCCCCCAAAACCCACCCAGGACCCACAAAATCCCCCCCAAAATCCACCCAGGACCCCCAAAATCCCCCAAAGACTCCTCCAGACCCCCCCCCCAAAATTCCCCAGTCCCCCAGGAGTCCCCAGAATTCCTCCAATTCCCCCCAAAATCTCCCCAAATCTCCCCCTGGGACCCCCCAAAATCCCCCAGGACCCCCAAAATTCCCCCAGGACCCCCAAAATCCCTCAGGACCCCCCTCACCTTTGCGCAGGTCGATCACGGCCACGTCCCCCCGGGCGCTGCCCACGACCACCGAGCTGGGGAGGGGGAAAATGGGGCTGGGGGGGGCGGTGGGACCCCCCCCACCCCAATCCCGGGCACCCCAAATTCACCCCGGGTACCCCCAAACCCCCCCAGGGTCACTTTGGGGCCTTTCAGAGCCCTCCAGGATCCCCCCAAAGGCTCCTTAAAACCCCCAAAATCTCCTCAAAAATCCCCTCAAGATCCCCCAAAATCCCCTAAACTCCCCCAAACTCCAACAGGACCCCCCAAACCCCCTTAGCACCCCCTAAAATCCCCTCTAAATCCCCTCAGGACCCCCCCAAAATCCCCGGGACCCCCCAAAATCTCCCAAGGGCCCCCCAAACCCTCTTAGCACCCCTTAAAATCCCCCCCAGATCCCCCCAGGACCCCCCAAAATTCCCCTAAAATTCCCCCAAACCCCCTCAGGGTCCCCCGAAATCCCCCCAGGACCCCCCAAAATTCCCCTGAAATTCCCCCAAACCCCCCCAGACCCCCCAGGACCCCCCAAACCCCCCCAGGCCCCCCCAGCACTGACGTGTTCCCCTCGGGCAGCGCCAGCGCCGTCAGCGGCGCCTCCCCAAAGGCGGCATCGAGCACCGGGCGGCGCCGGGGACACGAGGGGTCATAGAGACGCACCTGGGACAGGTGAGGGGACAGTGAGGGACAGGAGGGGACAGGGACAGGTGAGAGATGGGTGGGGACAGGTGAAGGTAGGGAGGGACACGTGGAGGGCACTGCAGGTGCCCCCAGGTGCCCTCACCTGGTTGTGCCCTGTGCAGGTGACCCCAGGTGCCCCCCAATGTCCCCAATGTCCCCAGGTGCCCTCACCTGTCCATGCCCCGTGCAGGTGACCCCAGGTGACCCCAGGTGCCCCCCAATGTCCCCAGGTGTCCCCAGGTGCCCTCACCTGTCCATGCCCCATTCAGGTGACCCCCAATGTCCCCAGGTGTCCCCAATGTCCCCAGGTGCCCTCACCTGGCCGTGCCACGTGCAGGTGACCCCAGGCGTCCCCAATGTCCCCAATGTCCCCAGGTGTCCCCAGGTGCCCTCACCTGTCCGTGCCCTGTGCAGGTGACCCCAGGTGACCTCAGGTGTCCCCAATGTCCCCAGTGTCCCCAGGTGCCCTCACCTGGCCGTGCCCCGTGCAGGTGACCCCAGGTGTCCCCAATGTCCCCAATGTCCCCAGGTGTCCCCAGGTGTCCCCAATGTCCCCAGGTGTCCCCAGTGCCCCCACCTGTCCGTGCCCCGTGCAGGTGACGATTCTCTGTGACCCTGGCAGGAACTGCAGGTCCCGGTCCCAGACGGGCACGCGCAGGTCCAGCCAATCGTTCCTCACCTGCAGCACATTTGGGGACACTGGGGACACTTTGGGACATTTGGGGACGTTTGGGGACACTTTGGGACATTTGGGGGACATTCCGGGGGGGTTTTATGTAATTTTGGGATATTTTTGGGGTATTCTTGGGGTATTTTTGGGGTATTTTTAATGCCGTGATTTGGGTCGGTTTTGGGTACCTTTGGGGTCTTTTCGGGGTATTTTTTGAGATATTTTTGGGGTATTTTGGGGGTTAATTTTTAGGTAGTTTTGGGATATTTTCAGGGTATTTTTGAGGTATTTTTAGGATATTTTTGGGATTTTTTGGGGTATTTTTTGGGCATTTTTAGCGCCGTGATTGGGGTTGGTTTTGGGTATTTTTTGGGTGGCTTTTGAGTATTTTTTTTGGTTGTTTTTGGGGTATTTTTAGGGTATTTTGGGGTTGCATTCAAGGATATTTGGGGTATTTTTTAAGGTGTTATCAGGTTATTTTTGGGATATTTCTGTGGTTGTTTTTGGGATATTTTTTGGGTATTTTTAGGGTTGGTTTGGGGATATTTTCAGTGGGGTTTTGAGGTACATTCTGGGGTTGTTTCTGGAATATTTCTGGGGTATTTTTGGGGTGGTTTTGGGATATTTTAAGGGTTGTTTTTGGAAATGTTTCTGGGGTATTTCTAGAGTAGCTTTTGGGTATTTTTGGGGTTGTTCTGGGGTTATTTCCAGGGTTGTTTTGGTGTATTTTTGGGGTGTTTTCGGGGTATTTCTAGGGTAATTTTTGGGTATTTTTGGGGTAATTTTGGGCTCGGATCTGGGATATTTTTGGGGTTGTTTTGAGGTATTTTTGGGGTGTATTTCTGGGGTGCCACTCACGTTCTTGGCCCGGAACAGGGGCTCCTGGGGCCGCTGCAGGTCCCACACCTTGAGCCCGTTCTCCTTCCCCCCCGTGCCCACCACGTGAGGCCTCGTGGGGTCCTGGCGCATCCGGCACAGCCCCGGCCCCGCCTGCAGCTCCTGCAGGGGCTGAGGATGGGGGGGAGTTACCCCAAAACCCCCCCAAAATAACCCCAAACCCTGCTCAAAATCCCCATTAAAAAATCCCCAAAAAATCTGCCCAAAATCCACCAAAAATCCCCAATTCTGGCACAGCCCTGGCTCCTGCAGGGGCTGGAAATGGGGAGGGGTCACCCCAAAACTGCCCCCAAAAAAACCCCCAAAAACCACCCCAAACCCAACCCAAACCCTGCTCAAATCCTCCACGAAAAACACCCCAAAAATCTGCCAAAAATCCACCAAAAATCCCCAATTTTGGCACAGCCCTGGCTCCTGCAGGGGCTGGAAATGGGGAGGGGTCACCCCAAAACTCCCCCCAAAAAAAAGCCCCAAAACCACCCCAAACCCAACCCAAACCCTGCTCAAAATCCCCATTAAAAAACCTCCCCAAAATCCCCAAATTTGGCACAGCCCCGGCTCCTACAGGGGCTGGAAATGGGGAGGGGTCACCCCAAACCCCCCCCCAAAAAACCCAAACCCCCAAACCACCCCAAACCCTGCTAAAAAGCTGCCCTAAAATCACCAAAAATGCCCCCAAAATCCCCCATTTTTGGCACATCCAACCCCACCTAAAGGTCCCAAACGGGGCTGGGATTGGGGAGGGGTCTCGAGGGGACCCCAAAACCCCCCCAGAGCCCCCCCAGAGCCCCCACTCACCTCCTCATCCTCCTGCTGCCCCCAGACCCGAACCAGCCCCGACTCCACCGCGGTGACCACAGAGCTGGGGGGGGCAGGGGGGGGGGTCAGGGGGGGTTTGGGGACCCCCCAAGGCCTCTGACCCATCCCCCACCCCTCAAGATCCCCCCCAAAACCCCCCTGAACCCCCCCAGGACCCCCAAAACCCCCCTGAGACCCCCCCCAGGACCCCCCCCCTTACCTGCCCAGCACCCCGAGGCCGCAGAAGGCGCCGCCCCCCCCCGGGCAGAGCCGCCCCCCGGTGAATTTTCCTTCCTCGGTGCTGAAAACGCTCAGGGATCGATCCAGGGCTCCCACCAGCACCTGGGGGGGCACGGGGGGGGTTCAGGACACCCCAAAACCGACGGGAGCCCCCCCAGGAACTCAGACCCCCCCCCCCCCCCAACTCACCTGGCTCTGGGCGGGGTCCCCCCAGGTGAGCACCGAGACCCCCCGGGCCCGGCTCAGCCCCTCCCCCCCCGCGTGGTTCGTGGCCTCTCGGCGCTGCAGGTTCACCCCTGGGGGGGAGGGGAAAGTCAGGGACACCCCCCCCAAAACCACCCCGAGTCCCCCCAACCGCCCCCCAGGGACCCCCCAAAACTCCCCCCAAGGACCTCAGGACACCCCCGGGACCCCCAAAAACCGCCAGGACCCCCCCGAGAACCTCAGGATCACCCCGAGACCCCCCCAAGACCACCCCGAACATCCCAAGACCCCCCGGGAACTCCCCGGCGACCCCGAAATTCACCCCCAAACCCTCAGTGCCTTCCCGCACACCCCGGGACCCCCCAAAGGCTCCTCCCGGTCCCCGGAACTCCCTCGGAACCCTCTCGAATCCCACCTCAGGACCCTCCTCGACCCCCCCAGACCCCTCAGGATCCCCCCTCACCTTTAAGGGCTCCGGTCTCGGCTCCCACCCAAACGTGACACAACCGCGTGGGCGCCGCCATCTTGGGAGTCCTCCCGACCCTTCCGGCGTGGGAACCGCGAGCGCGGCCGGAACGTTCCGGGGCAGAAAAGTTCCGGGGATCTCCCGGCATTCCCCGCGCCGCTCTCATTTGCATAACTCCGCCCCTCATGGGCGTGGCCGGCCCAGCCATGGCGGAGCGGGAAGAGCGGCGCTTCGTGGAGCTGCCCCGGGACTCGGTGCGGCTCATGGCCGAGAGCGCCGGCGTGGAGCTCAGCGATGAGGTGGCGGCGCTGCTGGCCGAGGATGTGTGCTACCGGCTGCGGGAGGCCACGCAGGTACCGGGATACCGGGGATACCGGGGGGTACCGGGGATACCGGGGATACCGGGGATACCGGCGGTTACCGGGGTTACCGGTTACGGGAGGCCACGCAGGTACCGGGATACCGGGGGAGCCGGGGGGTACCGGGGCTTACCTGATCCTGTTCCCATTCCCATTCCCATTGTGCCCGTTCCCAGTTCCTCATTTCCCGTTTTTCCCCATTTCTCATTTCCCATTTTTCCCGGTTTTTCCCATTCCCAGAACAGCTCCCAGTCTCTCATGTCCCGTTTTTCCCATTTTTCCCGTTTATTTCCCGTTTTTCCCCGTCGTTCCCAGAACAGTTCCCAGTTCCTGAAGCACACTCGGCGCCGCCGCCTCACCGTGGAGGATTTCAACCGAGCTCTGCGCTGGAGCAACGTCGAGGTGGGGACAGAGGGGACACTGGGGGGACACTGAGGGGACACTGGGGGGACACTGGGGGGACACTGGGGGGACTGGGGACACTGGGGCTGTGCCTGATCCTTGCAGTGTCCCCAAATCCCCAGGGATGTCCCCGATGTCCTCACTGTCCCCAATGTCCCTGAGTGTCCCCGATGTCCCCAACATCCCCCCCAGGCCGTCTGTGGCTGTGGCTCTCAGGACTGTTCCTGTTCATGTCCCCAATGTCCCCAATGTCCCCAGTGATGTCCCCAATGATGTCCTCACTGTCCCCAGTGTCCCCATTGTCCCCCCAGGCCGTCTGTGGCTGTGGCTCCCAGGACTCGCTCCCGTTCCGGCCCCTCCGGGACTCGGATTTGTTTTTCCCCGAGGATCGGGAGGTGAATCTGCTGGAGCTGGCGCTGGCCACCAACATCCCCAAGGGCTGCGCCGAGACTGCAGTGAGAGGTGTGCCCCAAAATATCCCAAAATGCCCCCAAAATATCCCTGGGAATCCCCAGGGGCTGTGCCGAGACTGCAGTCAGAGGTGTGCCCCAAAATATCCCAAAATGTCCCCAAAATGTCCCCAAAATATCCCCAAAATATCCCTGAGAACTCCCAAGGGCTGTGCCGAGACTGCAGTGAGAGGTGCACCCCAAAACATCCCCAAAATGTCCCCAAAATACTCTAAAATATCCCCAAAATGTCGCCAAAAATATCCCCAAAATACCCCCAAAATGTCCCCAAAATGTCCCCAAAAATATCCCCAAAATACCCCCAAAATGTCCCCAAAATGTCCCCAAAATATCCCCTGGCACCCCCAAGTGCTGTGCCAAGACTGCTGTGAGAGGGGCACCCCAAAACATCCCCTGAGAACCTTCAAATATCCCCTGGAAACCCCAAAATCATCCTGGGAACTCCCAAAACCATCCTGGGAACCCCAAAATTATCCCTGGGACCCCCAAAATTATCCCTGGGACCCCCAAATTATTCCTGGGATCCCTGAAATGTCCTCAGGGGCTCCAAAAATGTCCTCTGGAAACCCAAAGTACCCCCTGGAACCCCAAAATCCTCCCTGGGAACCCCAAAATCCCCCCTGGGACCCCCGAAATCCCCCCCGGGACCCCCCCAGCCCCCCCAGCTGGGCAGGGGTCTCATCCCTCCCCCCCCACAGTGCACGTGTCCTACCTGGATGGCAAAGGGAACCTGGAGCCGCAGGGAGCAGGTCAGGAACGACCCCCAGAGACCCCCCTGGGACCCCCACAAATCCCCCAGACCCCGCCCCAGTTTCCCCCTTTTCTCCTTCCCCCAAGCCCCCCCAAGCCCCCCTGAAATCCCCCAGATCCCCCCTAACCCCCATCCTAAGACCCTCCCAGGACCCCCCAAACTCATCCCAGAGCTCCTGGAGACCCCCAAGATCCCCCACAGAACATCCAGAACGCCCCAAAATCCCCCAGACCCTCCCCAGACCCTCCCCAGCCCCCTTTTCTCCTCATCCCAAGCCCCCTGAAATCCCTCAGACCCTCCCTGCCCTTCAACCCAAGCCCCCCAGACCCCCCAGGACCCCCTGAAATCCCTCAGACCCTCCCCAGACCCCTCCCCAAACACCCCCTGGGACCCCCCCAGACCTCCAGGACCCCCTGAAATCCCCCAGACCCCTCCCCAGACCCCGTTTCTCCTGCTCCCAAGCCCCTCTAGACACCCTGAGACCCCCTGAAATCCCCCAGACCCTCCCTGCCCTTCACCCCAGGACCCCCTGAAATCCCCCAGACCACTCCAGGACCCCCTGAAATCCCCCAGGCCCTCCCTGCCCTTCACCCCAAGCCCCCCAGACCCCCCAGGACCCCATGAACTCCCCCAGGCCCCTCCCCAGTTTCCCCCTTTCCTCCTCCCCCCAAGCCCCCCGTGGGGTTTGTGTCACTCTGGGGGTGCCCCTGCCCTCCCTGCAGTGCCCAGCGCCGTCTCCTCGCTCAGCGATGACCTCCTCAAGTATTACCAGCAAATCACCCGCGCCGTGCTGGGCGACGACCCCCAGCTCATGAAGGTGGGGCTGAGGGGGTCTGGGGGGTCTGGGGGGGCTTGGGAGGAGGAGAAAAGGGGGCTGGGGAGGGATCTGGGGGATTTCAGGGGGTCCTGGAGGGGTCTGGGGGATTTCAGGGGGTCTCAGGGGGCTTGGGATGAGGAGAAAAGGGGGCTGGGGAGGGTCTGGGGAGGGGTCTGGGGGATTTCAGGGCGTCCTGGAGGTCTGGGGGGTCCCAGGGGGTGTCTGGGGAGGGGTCTGGAAAGGGGTCTGGGGGATTTCAGGGGGTCTCAGGGTGTCTATGGGGGCTTGGGATGAGGAGAAACGGGGTCTGGGGAGGGGTCTGAGGGATTTCAAGGGGTACTGGAGGGGTCTGGGGGGCTTGGGGTGAAGGGCAGGGGGGATCTGGGGGATTTCAGGGGGTCCTGGAAGGGTCTGTGGGCCTTGGGGGGGTCTTGGGATGAAGGGCAGGGAGGGTCTGGGGGATTTCAGGACGTCCTGGGGGGTCTAGGGGGGCTTGGGATGAGGAGAAAAGGGGGTCTGAGGAGGGTCTGGGGAGGGGTCTGGGGGATTTCAGGGGGTCCTGGAGGGGTCTGGGGGCCTTGGGGGGGGGTCTTGGGGTGAAGGGCAGGGAGGGTCTGGGAGATTTCAGGGGGTCTCAGGGTGTCTAGGGGGGCTTGGGGGGAGGGGAAAAGGGGGAAACTGGGGCGGGGTCTGGGGGATTCTGAGTCTCCACCCCCCCCAAGCCCCCCCAGGCCGGGCTGACCCCTCTGGGCCCCCCCAGGTGGCCCTGCAGGATCTGCAGAGCAACCCCAAGATCGCGGCGCTGCTGCCCTACTTCGTCTACGTGGTCAGCGGGGTGAGATTGGGGGGTCCTGGGGGGTCCTGGGGTGAGTTTAGGGGGTCCTGGGGGGTCCTGGGGTGAGCCTGGGGGGTCCTGGGGGTCCTGGGGTGAGACTGGGGGGTCCTGGGGGTCCTGGGGTGAGTTTAGGGGGTCCTGGGGGTCCTGGGGTGAGATTGGGGGTCCTGGGGTGAGATTGGGGGTCCTGGGGGGTCCTGGGGTGAGATTGGGGGGTCCTGGGGGTCTCCAGAGGCTGCTGAAGGTCTCTAGGCTGAGCTGGGCTAAGCTGGGCTGAGCTGGGCTAAGCTGGGCTGTCCCAGACCATCCCTGGAGCCTTTCCAGGCTTTCCCTCCCACCTTCCCTCACCTGGCCCAGGTGAAATCCGTGAGCCACGACCTGGAGCAGCTGAGCTGGGCTGAACCAAGCCAGGCTGGGCTGAGCTGGGCCGGGCTGGGCTGGGCTGAGCTGGGCTGGGTTGAACCAGGCTGGGCTGGGCTGGGCCGTCCCCAGAGCCTCCCCAAACTCTCCCTGTGCCCCGGCCCAGGTGAAATCCGTGAGCCACAACCTGGAGCAGCTGAGCTGGGCTGAGCTGGGCTGGGCTGGGTTGAACCAGGCTGTCCAGGGCTGTCCAAGGCCGTCCCTGGAGCCTCCCCAAACTCTCCCTGTGCCCCGGCCCAGGTGAAATCTGTGAGCCACGACCTGGAGCAGCTGAGCCGGCTGCTGCAGCTGGCTCGGAGCCTCCTGCAGAACCCGTTCCTGTGCCTGGGCTCCTACGTGGGCAGCCTGATGGGCTCGGTGCTCTACTGTGTGCTGGAGCCCCTGGCAGCCTCCATCAACCCCCTCAACGACCACTGGACCCTGCGTGACTACGCTGCTCTGCTGCTGGGACGCATCTTCTGGTGGGCACGGGGGAACTGGGGGGTCCTGGGGGGGATTTGGGGGTCAGGGCCCCGTGAGGGGTCCAGGAGGAGGGCAGGGATGGGGATTTTGGCTGCTGATTCAGAAGGGGCGGTTTGATATTTGGGGATTTGTGTTGTTTTAAAAGGGAAGGATGTGGTAGAGTGAGAGAGGAGAAGAAAGGGTTTTATTGGAAGGGAAGGGAAAAGGAAAGGGAAAAGAAGGAAAGCAGAAGGAGAAGAAAAGGGGAAGGAAAGGAAAAAGGAAAAAAGGAAAGTAAAAGGAAAAATGAAAAAAGGGAAAGAAAAGGAAAGGAAAAGGAAAAAAGGAAAGGAAAAGGAAAAACAAAAAAAGGGAAAGGAAAGGAAAAAGGAAAAAAGGAAAGGAAAAGGAAAAACAAAAAAAAGGGAAAGAAAAGGAAAGGAAAAAGGAAAAAAGGAAAGTAAAAGGAAAAATGAAAAAAGGGAAAGGAAAGGAAAAGGAAAGGAAAAGGAAAAACAAAAAAAGGGAAAGGAAAGGAAAAAGGAAAAAAGGAAAGGAAAAGGAAAAATGAAAAAAGGGAAAGGAAAGGAAAAAGGAAAAAAGGAAAGGAAAAGGAGAAAGAAAAGGAAAAACGAAAAAAGGAAAGAAAAGGGAAAGGAAAGGAAAAGAAAGTAAAAGGAAAGGAGAAGAAAGGAAAGGAAAAAGGAAAGGAACAGTAAAAGGAAAATGGAAAGGAAAGGAAAAAGGAAGGAAAAGGAGAAAGAAAAGAGAAGGAAAAGGAAAAAGGAAAGGAAAGGAAAAAGGAAAAACAAAGGAAAAGGAGAAAGAAAGGAAAAGGAAAGGAAAAAGGAAAGAGAAAAGAAAAGAAAAAAAAGAAAAGAAAGAAAAGAAAGAAGAATAAAATCCCGTGACTGCTCAGAGTCCCCACACAGCTGAGCCTGCGATTGGCCATTGATTAAAACCAACCACGCCAGACCAGCCCAAGGCTCCCCTGCTGCACCCAATTTTTGCTTTTCTGTTCCTCTGAGGCTCCTCGGCCTCTGGGGAGGATCAAACCCCGGCAGGAGCAATTCCAGACCCGTTTCAGTGCCCGCTGTGCCCGCAGGAGCCACGGGGAGCTGGTCAGGGGCCTCTACCAGCAGATCCTGCTCGCGCTCCAGAAGGTCCTGGCAGACCCCGTGCGGCCGCTCTGCTCCCACTACGGGGCCGTGGTGGGGCTGCACGCGCTGGGCTGGAAGGTCTGGGGGTCTCCAGGGGGGTTTGGGGGGTCCTGAAGGGGATTTGGGGGGGTCCTGAGGGGGTTTGAGGGGTTCTAAGGGGATTTGAGGGGGTTCTGAGGGGGTTGGGGGCGGTCTTGAGGGGTCTTGAGGGGGTTTTGAGAGGGTCCTGAGGGGGTTTCAGGGAGCTATGGGAGGGTTTGGGGGGTTCCTGAGGGGATTTGAGGGGTTCTAAGGGGATTTGAGGGCGTTTCTGAGGGGATTTGAGGGGACTATGGGGGCTTTGGGGGGGGTCCTGAGGGGGTTTGGGGCAGTCTTGAGGAGGTTTTGGGTCTCGAGGGGTTTTGAGAGGGTCCTGAGGGGGTTTTAGTGGCTTCCTGAGAGGGTTTGGGGGGTCCTGAGGGGGATTTGGGGGGTTCCTGAAGGGGTTTGAGGGGTTTTTGAGGGGGTTTTGGGGGGGTCCTGATGGGGGTTTGAGGGGTTCTAAGGGGTTTGAGGAGATTATGGGGGGTTTTGAGGGGTTTCTGAGGGGGTTTGGGGCGGTCTTGAGGAGGTTTTGAGAGGGTCTTGAGGGGTTTTTAGTGGGTTCCTGAGAGGGTTTGGGGGAGCTATGGGGGGGTTTAGGGGGGGTCCTGAAGGGGTTTAGGGGGTTCTGAGGGTTGTAGGGGGGTCCTGAGGGGGTTTTGAGAGGGGTCCTGAGGGGTTTGGGGGGGTCCTGAGGGTTGTAGGGGGGTCCTGAGGGGGTCCCAAAGTGGGTGTGGGGGGATCCTGAGGAGGTTTGGGGGATCCTGAGGAGGTTTTGGGTTATCCCGAGGGGATTTTGGGGGGCTCTTGAGGGGGTTTGGGGGGGGCTGAAAGGCACGGGGAGGGGGGTCTAAAGGGGCTCTGGGAGTGCTCCAGGGGGTTTGGGGGTTCCATGGGGGCTTTGGGTGGTCCTGGGCAGGTTTGGGGGTTCAGGGTGGGGGTCTCAGCCCATGTCCCCCCTCCCCAGGCCGTGGAGCGGGTGCTGTACCCCCCACCTCCCCACGTACTGGTTTGGGGGGTTCCATGGGGGGCTTTTGGGGGGTCCTGGGCAGGTTTGGGGTTCAGGGTGGGGGTCTCAGCCCATGTCCCCCTCCCCAGGCCGTGGAGCGGGTGCTGTACCCCCCACCCTCCCCACGTGCTGGTTTGGGGGGTCCATGGGGGGGTTTGGGGGTTCAGGGGGGGTTCCAGGGGGGGGGGGTCTCAGCCCATTCCCCCCCTCCCCAGGCCGTGGAGCGGGTGCTGTACCCCCACCTCCCCACGTACTGGCCCAACCTCCAGGCCGTGCTGGACGATTACTCCGTGTCCAACGCCCCAGGTCAAGGCTGACGGCCACAAAGTCTACGGCGCCATCCTGGTGAGGCCGGGGGGGCTTTTTCTGGGGGGGGGGGGGGGGTCCCGCACCCCTTTAACCCCCCCTTGCGATCCCTCTGAGCCCCCCCGTGCCCCCCAGGTCGCCGTGGAGCGGCTGCTCAAGGCCAAGGCTCAGCAAGCCCCGGGATTTGGGGGGTCCCGAGGGGTCCCCCCGGCACAGCCCCCCCGGCCAGGACCCCCCCCCCCGAGCTGGGTTTGGGCCGCCCGGTGATACCGGGGGGCGCCGCCGCTGCTTCCTCCTCCTCCCTCCTCCTCCTCCTCCTCCTCCTCCTCCTCGCCGCTGTCCGCCGCCCTCGCCGTCGCTGCGGGACATGTACCGAGAGCTCTACGACTTCTTCGGCGACAGCCTCGCGGCTCGGTTCGGTACCGGCGCCCCCGCCGAGCCCCCGAGCCCCCCGGGAGCGCCCGAGGGCGCCCGCAAGGAGCCCCCCGGCCGAAGGAGCCGCCCCGCAAAATTGCCCCAATTGACCAACGCCACGGTGAGCCCGAGGGACGAGGAGCCGCCCCCCGCCGCGCCCGGAGCGGCCCCCGCTGCACCGAGCGCCGGGACCCCCCGCCCCGGCCCCGCGGGACCCCCCGCGCCCCCTCCGGCCACCGGCCCGGGGCTCGGGACGTGTTCCAGAAATGTCGCTTCGCCCCTCGGGGCCCTCCCCGCTTCAGCTTCGTGATCGCGGGGCGCCAAACCGGGCGGCGCGCTGCCCCGGGCCGCGAAGGTTCCAGACGAGCTTCCCGCAGCCGCCCGGGGCCGCGCTCGCTCCCGGTACGCGCAGCGGCTGCCGATGATCGGGGAGAACCGCGAGGGGCCCCGCGGAGATGGCCCCGAGCCGAGTACTCGCTGCTGCTGCTGCTCTGAGCCCGGCAACGGGGCTGGAAATGGGGCTGGAAATGGGCGGGGGGCGGTCAGAGGGGGCGTGGTGGACACTGAGTGGCGTGGAGTGGTCAGTAAGGGATGGGGAGTGGCCACTAAAGAGGGGGTGGTGGTCAGTGGATGGTGTGAAATGGGCAATAAAGGAAATAAAGGAAATGTTGTGGTCATTTAAAGGGTGCCCAGTGGCGAGCAGAAAGGGTTTGGTGGTCAGGGGGTGGCGTGGCAGCGGTCACTGCAATGGGGGTGGGGTGGGCATCCAAGGGTGCCCGGTGGTCAGCAGATGGTTTGGTGGTCAGTGGATGCTGTGAAATGGTCAGTGAGGGGAGGGGAGTGGTCAGTCAAGGGTGCCCGGTGGTCAGCAGAGAGGGTGTGGTGGTCAGGGGGGTGGCGTGGAGTGGTCAGTGGATGGTGTGGGGTCAATAAACAGCCCCAGTGGTCAGTGGGGTCAGTGGTCAGTGGGGTCAGTGGTCAGTCCCTGGTGTGGGGTCAGTCCCTGGTGTGGGTTCAGTGCCAGGTGTGGGGTCAGTCCCTGGTGTGGGGTCAGTGTTGAGTGGTCAGTGCCTGGTGTGACCCCAGCCATCCCCGAGAGCTCCTCCCCCACTCAATAAAATCTCATTTTTTCCATTTTCTGCCCCAATTCCCCCCTCTCCCTGCAGTGACACCCCCGGCCACGCTGCCCAACGGGTTTTACTGAAAAAGAATTTTACTCAGAATTTACAAATTCCCCACCCCAGCCCAGGCGCTGCCGAACCATTCCGGGCAGAAAACCCCGCAAGAAATGGAAAAACTCCTGGAAAAGCGGCGAGGGGGGCTCAGGCTGGAGCTGCAGCAGCATTTGGGGGTCCCGGTGCGCCCCCCCCGGGCGGGCGCTGAGCTGGAAACGCAGCAGCGGCTGCGGGGGGGGCCCGGGGGGGCTCCCGGTGTCCCCTCGGACGATGGCCACGGTCACGGCCCGTTCCAGGGCCAGGGGGGACCCCCCCGAAATCCGGGACAGCCCCAGGGTCCTGAACCCCAGCGGGACCCCCGGGACCCTGAACCCCAACGGGACCCTGAACCCCCCCGGGACTTGGAGCCCCCCCGGGGATCCCGAACCCCCCCGGGACCCTGAACCCCCCCAAAATCCTGAACCCCCCCAGGACCCTGAACCCCAGCGGGACCCCCGGGACCCTGAACCCCAACGGGACCCCCGGGACCCTGAACCCCCCCGGGACCCCGAACCCCCCCGGGATCCTGAACCCCTCTGGGATCCGGAGCCCCCTCAGGACCCTGAACGCCCCCAAAATCCTGAACCCCCCCGGGACCCTGAACCCCCCTGGGACCCCCGGGACCCTGAACCCCCCCGGGACTTGGAGCCCCCCCGGGACCCCGAACCCCCCCCGGGATCCTGAACCCCTCTGGGATCCGGAGCCCCCTCAGGACCCTGAACGCCCCCAAAATCCTGAACCCCCCCGGGACCCTGAACCCTCCCAAGATCCTGAACCCCAACGGGACCCCCGGGACCCTGAACCCCCCCGGGACCCTCAAGCCCTCGATCCCCCCGGTTCCCGTCGGTGCCCGGAGCCCCCCCGGAGCCCCCCCGGTAGCGGAGGCGGCGGCGGAGGCGGCGGCGGCCCCGCCACACCCGGTGCCAGACGCAGCAGCTCCACCGCGAGGGACCCGCGGGACCCCGGGGCCGCTTTGAGGGCGGGACCCCGGCCCCGTCCGGGCCCCCCTCGGGGAGGCGACGCTTCGAGCCCGGCCCCGATGTCCCCACGTCCCCAAATTCCTCCCCAGACCCTCCTGTCCCCCCCTCCAGGTGACACCGGGCTCCCGGGGGTGGCTCTGAGGGATCCCCCGATGTCCCAAATTCCCCCCGGGACCCTCCTGTCCCCCCCTCCAGGTGACATTGGGTTCCCAGGGGTGTCCCTGTGTCCCCAAACTCCCCTCGGGATCCCCCTGTCCCCGTCCCCAGCTGACACTCAGCTCCCGAGGGTGGCTCCCCTGGTGTCCCAGTGTCCCCAAAGTCCCCTCGGGACCCTCCTGTCCCCCCCTCCGGGTGACATTGAGCTCCCGGGGGTGGCTCTGAGGGATCCCCCGATGTCCCAAATTCCCCCCCAGACCCTCCTGTCCCCTTCCCCAGTTGACACCGGGCTCCCGGGGGTGGCTCCCCCTCATCCCCCGATGTCCCCGTGTCCCCAAACTCCCCCCGGGACCCCCCTGTCCCCCTCTCCGTGTGACACTCAGCTCTCGGGGGTGTCCCCCCCCGGTGTCCCCCCCGGTGTCCCCCCCGGTGTCCCCCGCGTCCTCGGGCTCGCAGCCGCACCCCAGCACCTCCCTGAGCACGAAGGCCACGGCCGCGCTCACCTCGCTCTGCGGGACCCCCCCCGCACCCCCCCGGGGGCCGCAGCGGGACCTGGATCAGGAATTTCCCCTCGGAACTCCCGGAGTTCCCGCGGTTCCCGGGCTGGAGCAGCCTCATCACGCCCCAGGGGCGGCCCCGCCGCGATTTCTGCAGGAACTCGGGGCCGCGACAGAGGCGGGCGGCGTCGCGACAGCAGCGCACGAATCGCGACACGGTGCGCGCCGTGACGTTGGCGGCCACGTTGTGGCTGAGCTCGAAGGGGTCCTGCAGGGTCAGGGGGCCCGGGCGGAGACCCCCGAGGGCCTCGGGAGGGGGGCGAGGCAGAGCTCGGCCCTCCAGGGGCGACAGGAGGAGCCCCCCCAGATCCAGGGTCCCGAAATAGGAGAAGAATTCGGCCAGGAGGGAGGCTGGGATGGAGGGGGTGGTTAGAGAGGTGTGGAGGCACCCCCGGAAATAGCCAGGAGAGCCCCGAAATCAGACAGAAATAACCCTGAAAATAGCCTCAAAATCAGGCAGGAAGTGCCCTAAAATCACCCAGAAACAACCCCAAAATCACTCCCAAAAACAGCCTTAAAATCACCCAGAAACCCCCCAAAACCACTCCCGAAATCACCCAGAAACAACCCCAAAACCACTCCCAAAAACAGCCTTAAAATCACCCAGAAACCACCCAAAATCACCCAGAAACAACCCCAAAACCACCCTCAAAATCACCAAGAACCCCCCCACCCAAATCACTCAGAACCAACCCCAAAACCACCCCAAAAATACCCTCAAAAATCACCCAGAAACTCTCCCAAAAACATCCAGAAACCCCCAAAAACCACTCCCAAAACTCCCCTAAAAATCCCCCAAAAACCACTCCCAAAACTCCCCTAAAAATCCCCCAAAATTCCCCCAAAATCCGATGGATTTGGAGCCCCTCCCCAGTGGGATTTGAGTCCCCCCCAGTGGCTTTGGACCCCCCCCCAAATTTGTCCCCCCAATTCTGCCCCTCCCAGTGGGTTTGGATTCCCCCCCCCCCCGATTTAGGGACCCCCAAAATTTGTGTCACCCCCAGTGGGTTTGGAGCCCCCTCCCTCCCCAATTTAGGACCCCCTAAATCTGCCCCCCCCCCCTCGATTTAGGACCCCTCAAATTTGCCCCCCCCCCCCCCCCCCCAGTTGGTTTGGAGCCCCTCCCGGATTTAGGGACCCCCCCTTAGTGGGTTTGGAGCCCCCTCCCCAATTTAGGACCCCCAAATCTGCCCCTCCCAGTGGGATTTGAGCCCCTCTCAGTGGGATTTGAGCCCCTCTCAGTGGGATTTGTGCCCCCGCTGTGGCACTGGAGCCCTCCCGGATTTAGGAACCCCCTCCCCAGTGGGTTTGGAGCCCCCTCCCCAATTCAGGACCCCTCAAATTTGCCCCTCCCAGTGGCATTTGAGCCCCCGCTGTGGGATTTGAGCCCCTCCCAGTGGGGATTTGTGCCCCTCCCAGTGGGATTTGAGCCCCTCCCAGTGGATTTGTGCCCCTCCCAGTGGGATTTGTGCCCCTCTCAGTGGGATTTGTGCCCCCCCAGTGGGTTTGGAGCCCCTCCTGGATTTAGGAACCCCCTCTCCAGTGGGTTTGGAGCCCCCTCCCCAATTCAGGACCCCCAAATCTGCCCCTCCCAGTGGATTTGAGCCCCTCTCAGTGGGATTTGTGCCCCTCCCAGTGGGATTTGAGCCCCTCCCAGTGGGATTTGAGCCCCTCCCAGTGGGATTTGTGCCCCTCCCAGTGGGATTTGTGCCCCCGCTGTGGCCCTGGAGCCCTCCCGGATTTAGGAACCCCCTCCCCAGTGGGTTTGGAGCCCCCTCCCCAATTTAGGACCCCTCAAATTTGCCCCTCCCAGTGGCATTTGAGCCCCCGCTGTGGGATTTGAGCCCCTCCCAGTGGGATTTGTGCCCCTCCCAGTGGGATTTGAGCCCCTCCCAGTGGGATTTGAGCCCCTCCCAGTGGGATTTTGAGCCCTCCCCAGTGGGATTTGTGCCCCCGCTGTGGCCCTGGAGCCCTCCCGGATTTAGGAACCCCCTCCCCAGTGGGTTTGGAGCCCCCTCCCCCGTTCAGGACCCCCCAGTGCCCCCGGACCCACCCGCGCTCTGTCGGTTCCCGCTGGGCTCCAGCGCCGCCGCCTCCCGGGGGAAGCTGCAGTCCCAGCCCCCGACCCGAGCGCGCTCCTGGGGCCCTGCAACCCACACGGGGGGGGCTCAGAGACCCCCGGAATGGGGCGGGGGACCCCCGAAAAGGGGACCAGGGCCGGGGGGAAGGTGGGGACGGGGCCTGGGCACCTGCCAGGAGGCGGAGGCGCCGCACCGAGGGCAGCACGGGGGGGCTGCGGCTCTGCAGGAACAGCACCAGCAGCAGCGTCAGGGCGTAGTTGGTGAGGAGGGGGCCGCCCCCGGCCCGGTTCCCTGCGGCAGAAACGGGGGGGGGGGGTCCGCAGTGAGCTGAGACCCCCCCTCAATTGGCCACGACCCCCCCCCCGGCTGCCTGGAGCCGTTTGGGGCTGGGCTGGGGGCTCCGAGGGGCGGCACCCCGCGGGGATTTTGGGGGATCCCTTCCCGTTCCAGGGGGGTCTCTGCCCCTTCTGGGGTCCCCAGCCCCTCTGGGAGGGGTCTCAGTTCCTTTAGGGGGGGGTCTCCAGACCCTTTTTGGGGGGTCTCAGTCCCTTTGGGGGCTCTCAGTGCTTTTTGGGGGGGGGGGGGTCCCAGTCCTTTTGGGAGGGGTCTCAGTTCCTTTGGGGGGGGGGTCTCCAGACCCTTTTTGGGGGGTCTCAGTCCCTTTGGGGGGTCCCAGTCCTTTTGGGAGCGGGGTCTCAGTTCCTTTGGGGGGGAGGGGGTCTCAGTCCTTTTAGGGGTCCCCAGACCCTTATGGGGGTCTCAGTTCCTTTTTGAGGGTCCCAGCCCCTTTTCGGGGGTCCCATCTCATTTTTGGGGTTCCCAGCCCCCTTTTAGGGTCTCCCAGCCCATTTTTTGGGGGGTCCCATCCCATTTTGGGGAGGGGGTCCCGACCCCCCCCTCACCTGCCAGGTGCTGCCCCCTCCCCCAGAACCACACAGGGGCTGTGGGGAGGGGGAGCCCCAGCAGGTCCCATCCCATTTTTGGTGGGTCCCATCCCATTTTTGGGGGTCCCAACCCAATTTTGGTGGGTCCCAGCCCCTTTTTGGGGTGTCCCAGCCCCTTTTAGGGTCCCCCATGCCATTTTGGGGAGGGGTCCCGCCCCCCTCACCTGCCAGCCGCTGCCCCCCCGCCCACAGCCGCAGGGCGTAGCCCAGGGGCCGCACCCGCGGGTCGGCGTCGGCGCAGAGGCGCAGGAAGCGAGTGTTGAACAGGGCCAGGCTGGGAACGGGTTTGGGGGGAAAAACGGGAAAAACGGGAAAAATGGGGAGGAAAAAGGGGCAGGGAAAAAGGGGAAAATGGGGAGGAAAAAGGGGCAGGGAAAAAGGGGAAAAATGGGCAGGGAAAAAGGGGAAAGATCGGGAAAAATGGAGGAGGAGGGAAAGGGGGAGAAAGAGAAAGAAGGGAGAGAAATGAGAAGGTTCCCCCCAGTCCCTCCCAGTCCATCCCAGTTACCCCTAGTCCATCCCAGTTATCCCCAGTCCATCCCAGTTGCTCCCAGTGCCCCCATATCCCCTCCCAGTTGCTCTCAACACCCCCTCGTGCCCCCATCCCCACTCCCAGTCCCTCCCAGTCCCCTCCCAGTGCTCCCAGTCCCTCCGAGCCCCCCTCCCAACGCCCCCCTGACGTCCCCATTCCCTCTCCCAGTCCCTCCCAGTTACTCCCAGTCCCTCCCAGAGGTCCCCAGTCCCCTTCCAATGCCCCCATTCCCTCTCCCAGTCCCCTCCCAGTTACTCCCCGTCCCTCCCAACATCCCCGTCATGCCCCCATCTCCCCTCCCAGTGCCTCCCAGTTCTCCCAGTCCCCTTCCAATGCCCCCATCCCCTCTCCCAGTCCCTCCCAGTGGCTCCCAGTCCCTCCCAGTGCTCCCAGTCCCCTTCCAATGCCCCCATCCCCTCTCCCAGTCCGTCCCAGTCCGTCCCAGTGGCTCCCAGTCCCGTACCGGTTGTCCAGGCACACGTCCCCGGCCAGCCCCGACTGTTTGTGGCTGAATTTCACCACGGGGCGCCGAGCGCCGGGCACGGCCCGGACCCCCCGGACCCCGGGCACGCAGCGGCGCAGCACCGCCCCCACCAGCAGCAGCGCCCGCTCCGGGGGCGCCCCGCGCCCCAAAAGGGACCCCCCGGACACCCCGGACCCCAAACGGGACCCCCCGGACACCCCGGAGCCCAAACGGGACCCCCTGGACCCCAAACGGGACCCCAAAAGGGACCCCTCGGACTCGGGGGATGAATCCCCTGACAGGGACCCCTCATCCCCCGACAGGGACCCCTCAGACCCCAAAAGGGACCCCTCAGATCCCATAAGGGACCCCTCAGACCCCAAAACGGACCCCTCAGATCCCATAAGGGACCCCTCGGACCCTTTAAGGGAGCCTTCGAGGGAGGGGTCTCTGTCACCTGAAGGAGACCCCAAAAGGGACCCCTCAGACCCTAAAAGGGACCTTTTGAGGGAGGGGTCTCTGTCACCCAAAGGGGACCCCAAAAAGGACCCTTTGTCCCCCAAAAGGGACCCCTCGGACCCCAAAAGGGCCTCAGGGGACTCATCCCCCGACAGGGACCCCTCAGACCCCAACTGGGCCCCTCTGTCCCCCAAAAGGGACCCCTCAGACCCCATAAGGGACCTTTTGAGGGAGGGGTCTCTGTCACCCAAAGGGGACCCCAAAAGGGACCCCTCGGACCCCAAAAGGGACCCTTTGAGGGGGGTGTCCCCATCCCCCAGCCGTGTCCCCGGGCTCTGGGGGTCCCCATTTGGGGTCTCTGGGATTTGGGGGTGCCCATTTGGGGTTTCCTGGCCCTGGGGGTCCCTGTTTGGGGTCCCCTCCATGGGGCGGTCCCCATTTGGGGTTTCTGGGATCCGGGGGTCCCCATTTGGGGTCTTTAGGATTTGGGGGTCCCCATTTGAGTTAGGATAAGAGTTTTTGGAGGTCTCTGGGGTTTGGGGGTCCCCGTTTGGGGTCTCTGGGGTTTGGGGGTCCCCGTTTGGGGTCTCTGGGCTTTGGGGCTCCCCCAGCTCCAGGTGCAGGTCCAGGTCGCAGCCGTGGACGTCGAAGCCGTTGACGGAGGAGCCGTAGGGGACAACGGAGCAGCCTGGGGGACACGGGGGGGGGGACAGGTGAGGGACAGGTGTGGGACAGGTGAGGGACAGGTGAGGGACAGGTGAGGGACAGGTGAGGGACAAGTGTGGGACAAGTACAGGGACAGGTGTGGGACAGGTGTGCCCAGGTGTGTCCCAGCTGTACCGAGGTCTATCCCAGGTGTATCCCATGTGTGCCCAGGTCTATCCCAGGTCTATCCCAGGTCTATCCCAGGTCTATCCCAGGTGTATCCCAGATGTGCCCAGGTGTACCCAGGTGTACCCCAGGTGTACCCAGGTGTATCCCAGGTGTATCCAGCTGTGCCCAGGTGTAACCCAGGTGTAACCCAGGTGTATCCCAGATGTACCCAGGTGTGCCCAGGTGTATCCCAGGTGTATCCAGGTGTACCCCAGGTGTATCCCAGGTGTGCCCAGCTGTGCCCAGGTGTATCCCAAGTGTATCCCAGGTGTGCCCAGCCATGCCAGGTGTGCCCAGCCATGCCAGGTGTGCCCAGGTGCATCCCAGGCGTACCCAGGCATACCCAGGTGTATCCCAGATGTATCCCAGGTGTACCCAGGTGTACCCAGGTGTATCCCAGGTGTACCCAGATGTACCCAGGTGTATCCCAGGTGTACCCAGGTGTACCCAGGTGTATCCCAGGTGTACCCAGGTGTACCCAGGTGTATCCCAGGTGCATCCCAGGTGTACCCAGATGTACCCAGGTGTATCCCAGGTGTATCCCAGGTGTACCCAGGTGTATCCCAGATGTACCCCAGATGTGCCCAGCCACACCAGCTGTGCCCAGCTGTGCTCACCTGGGAAGAACTCCATGAACACCTCCCTGATCAGGGTCACCAGCAGCTCCCGCAGGCGCCGCTCGGCCGCGCTCAGCTCCAGAGCCCGCACCAGCAGCTGCAGCTGTGCCCACACCTGGGGATGGAAACTGGCTGAACTGGGAGCACTGGGAACACTGGGAATGCCAGACTGGGTGAACTGGGAGCACTGGGAGCACTGGGAACACTGGGAGGGGCAAACTGGGTGAACTGGGAACACTGGGAACACTGGGAACACTGGGAATGCCAGACTGGGTGAACTGGGAACACTGGGAACACTGGGAACACTGGGAGTGCCAGACTGAGCGAACTGGGAGCGCTGGGAACACTGGGAGGGGCAGACTGGGTGAACTGGGAACACTGGGAGTGCCAGACTGGGAACACTGGGAACACTGGGAACACTGGGAATGTCAGACTGGGAACACTGGGGAACTGAGAAAACTGGGAAACTGGGCAGACTGGGCAAACTGGGAGTGCCAAATGGGGCAAACTGGGAGTGACTCCCCCCAAGCCAAGCTGGGCAACTGGGAGCCCCTCATGGCCATACTGGCAAACTGGGAGCATCGTCCCTTCCTTACTGGGCAAACTGGGAGCCCCCTTAAAACACTGGGAAAGCTTTGGGACCCCCCCAAACCCCCCCAAAATCCCCTGAGCACCCCAAGACCCCCCAGCCTCCCCTCAGGAGAGCTTTGGGACCCCCCAATCCCCCCGTCCCCCCCCACCCGAGCCCCCACTCACATCCTGGGCCCGGCCCAGCGCCTGCAGCAGCCCCGGGGGTCCCGGGGGGTTCCCGGGGGGGTCCCGGGGGGGGTCCCGGGGCCATTCCCGGTGCTCCCGGGGCCGCACCCGCAGCCGCCGCCCCTCCAGGAGATGCCGGGGCTGCTCCAGCGCCCGCTGCCGCCCCGCGGGGTCCCGCAGCTCCACGATAGCGAACGCGCCCTGCGGGACAGGGAGGGGCTATCGCGATAGGCGCGATATCGCCTTACCAAGGGAGGGGACATGAGACCTCCCCTCCCCAGGGCCAAAAAATCCCTCCCCGGCTTTGTCCGTCACTATCGCGACAATCGCGACACCCCCGAGAGCCTCAAAATTCCCGCCACTTTTTCATTCATTATCGCGACAATCGCGGGGTGCTGCTGTCCCCTCCCGCCGCCTCCTCCCCGCCTATCGCGACAATGCCGGTGCCGCCGCCGTCCCCACCTTGTCCTTGTCCATCACGACTGTCGCGACAGGGCCGAAGGCGCGGAAGTGGCGGCGCAGCTGCTCGGGCGCGGTGCCCCGGCGGAAGCCGCTGACGAAGAGGCTCCGCTGCTCCTGCGCCCGGCGCTCCGCCCGCAAACACCGGAGCCGCCCGTGCCGCTTCCCCGCCAGGTGAGAGCGCAGGCTCGGCACTGAGAGGGTTAACGGGGCGGTTAACGGGGCGGTTAACGGGGCGGTTAACGGGGGTAACGGGAACCGGGCACTGCGGGAGAGCCGCGAGAGCGGGGGCTAACCGGGGATAACGGGGAGTAACGGAATAATGGGGATTAACGGGGATAACCGGGATTAATGGGGGTTAACGGGGATTAACGGGAGAGCGGGGGTTAACGGGGAATAATGGGGAGAACGGGGATTAACGGGGACTGGGGACACCGGGAATTGGGGACTGCGGGACAACGGGGAAACAGGAACCGGGCACTGCGGGGATGAACGGGGACAGCGGGAATAACGGGAATCAACAGGAACTGGGGACACCGGGAGCAACGGGAATAACGGGAATCAGGGATTGCAGGAACAACGGAATCACCGGGAACTGGGATCAGTGGGAACACCGGGAATGGGAATTGGGGACACCGGAACCGGGATCACCGGGAACAGGAACTGGGGATACTGGGAACGGGGTCACCGGGACCGGAAGCACCAGCGGAAATTGGAGTCACGGAAATCCCCGGGACGGGAACCGGGGTCTCAGGGCTTCCCCGGTGCCGGTAATTGGGGCAATACAAACTCCCCGGTCCCGGTTAAAACGGAGTTTGGAAGCCCTCCCTGTTCTGGTGAACGGGATCCCAGAGCCCTCCCCGGACACGGGAACCGGGGAGTCACAGGAGGGTCCCGGAGCCCCCAGCCCCGGTAACCGGGACCGTAGAGTTCCCCCCCCCGCCCGGTGCCGGTAACCACCGCCCCTTCAGCCCCCGGGATCACTCACGGTTGGCCGTGGTGATCTGGCACAGGCGGCAGCGGAAGCCGCCCCGGTGCAGCGGCTCCACGTCGGGATCGTTCGCCGGGTCCGTTACCGGCACCGGGGCCGTTACCGGATCGTGGCCGGGCCCCGTTACAGGGTCGCGGCCTGGGTCCATGTCGGGATCAGGGCCCGGGGTCGGGATCAGGGCCCGGCCCCGGCTCCGGTTCCATGGCGAGCTCCGGTTCCCGCGCCCGTCCCTCAGCCACTTCCGCCGGAAATGGTCCGTTCCTCCCCGCTCCCCCACGCGCGGTCCGTTCCTCACTGTGTCCCCCCCGGAAAACGCGCCCCAACACAACCGTTCCGCCTGGTGTCCTCCCGGTATTCCCGTTACCCCCACCCCCGCGCCGCCGCCGTATTTTGACTCCCGTTGAAGAAAAAACTCATCGCGTTTATTTCCTGTCGCTACAGAACCGGGACAGCCGAGATACAAAACCGGGGCGTCTCTGCACGTACAAAAGGGGCCCGCGGAGGAGGGGGGGGGGGGGGGGTTTGGAGGGGGGGAGGGGCAAAAAGGACAGCGGGGGGGGGAGGGGGGGGCACCGAACCCACCCCCCCCTCCCCAACCCCCCCCCCGCGAGATTTCGAGATTTTTCTATGGAAATAAAAAAAATACAAAAGGGTTGTGGGGCCGGGGGAGGGAGGGTCAGTCCTCGAGCACGATGGGCTCGGAGGTGCTGGAGGGGTGGGGGGGGGGCGGGGGGCGCCAGGGCCCCCCCCGGGCGCAGGGGGAGCCCCCCCGGTTTCACCTTCAGGGGGAGGTTGGGGCGGCGGGCGGCGCGGCGGAGCTCCAGGTGTGTCAGAGCCTTCCGCAGAGCCCTGGGGAAAGGGGGGGACACAGGGGAGGGATCAGCTCAGGGAACCCCAAAAAATCCGTGGGACCGCCCCCCCAGCGTGGGGTGTGCAGGGCACGGGGCTGGTGTGGCCCCCACAGCAGGGGGAAAACCCCAAATTTGCTGTGCTTGGGTGTTGGGACAGCTCAGACCTTCCAGGACCCTGCCAGGGCTCCCCAAATCCCCTCATGACCCTCCCAGATCCCCTCAGGACCCTCCCAGACACCCTTGGGACCCCCCAAATCTCTTCAGGATGCCTCAAATCCCTCTCAGGATCCCTCAAACCTCCTTGGGGACCCCTCAAATCCCTTCAGGATTCCTCAAACCCCTTCGGGACCCCCCCAAATCTCTTCAGGATCCCTCAAATCCCTCTCAGGACTCCCCAGATCTACTCTGCACCTCTTAAACCCCACTTGGGACCCTTGCAAATACCCTCAGGACTCCTCAAACCTGCTCAAGCCCCCCCCAGGAACCCCAAACAGCCTCAGAACCCCTTCTGAACCCCCCAGATTCCTCAAGACACCCCCAAATCCCCTCAGGATCCCCCAAGTTCCCTCAGGATCTCCCCCAACCTTCTCGGAATCCCCTCAGGACCCCCCCAGACCCCTCAATTCCTCTCAGGACTCCCCCAAACCCTCTCAGAACCCCCCCCCAGACTCCCCCAAACCCTCCAGCCCCCGGTACCGGGTGTCCTTGGTGGCCACGAACACCACGGGGTTGGGCGCGTCCGCCGGGTTCAGTTTCTGCCGTTTGGTGCCGGGAGGAGGCGCGGGGCGCAACGCGGCCGCCAGGGGGCGCCCGTTGGCGGAGAACGGCAGCGCCGCCGTCCCGACCTGCGCGGGAAGGGAGCGTCAGCCCCGCCCCCCCGGCCAATCACAGCGCGCCGCGAGCGACCGCCGGCCAATCACCGCCCGCCTTCCGCGAGCGCGCGCGTTATGCGGCCAATCACCGCCCGGCCCCCCCAGCGCGCGTTAACTGGCCAATCACAGCTCGGCACACCCTGTCAATCACGGCCCGCCCTGAGGTGTCGGTCACTAATAACCACGCCCCAATCCCACAACGTCCCTGTCAATCAATTAAGATCCCGCCCACAAACCCTGATTGCACCAATCCGGTTACACCTCTAATGGCTCCACCTCCTGTCAATCACTCCAAAACTGCCCCCATCAATCACCCTAATTTCCCCGTCAATCATCCCCCTTTCCCCGTCAATCATACCAATCCTCTGTCAATCACTTCTACCTCCTGTCAATCACTTCCACCTCCTGTCAATCACCCCCATCATCCCCCTCTCAATCACCCCCATTTCACCCTCTCAATCACCCCCATTTCCTGTCAATCACCCCCATCTCCCCTGTCAATCACCCCCAATCCCCCCCGTCAATCATCTTCATTCCCATGTCAATCACCCCGTGTCAATCACTCCCAATTCCCATCAATCACTCATACCCCTGTCCATCACCCCATTTCCCCCTGTCAATCACCCCCATTTCCCCGTCAATCACCCCGTCAATCACCCCAATCCCCCCTGTCAATCACCCCAATCCCCCGTCAATCACCCCAATCCCCCCTGTCAATCACCCCCTGTCAATCACCCCCATTTCCCCTGTCAATCACCCCCTTTCCCCTGTCAATCACCCCCATTCCCCTGTCAATCACCCCAATCCCCCTGTCAATCACCCCTGTCAATCACCCCCTTTCCCCTGTCAATCACCCCCATTCCCCCTGTCAATCACCCAATCCCCCCTGTCAATCACCCCCTGTCAATCACCCCTAATTCCCCTATCAATCACTCTCATCTGTGTCAATCACCCCCCTTTCCCCTGTCAATCACTCCAATCCCCTGCCAATCACTTCCACCTCCTGTCAATCACCCCCCTTTCCCCCTGTCAATCACCCCAATCCCCCCTGTCAATCACCCCCATTTTCCCCTGTCAATCACCCCAATCCCCCCTGTCAATCACCCCCTGTCAATCACCCCATTTCCCCTGTCAATCCCCCCCTGTCAATCCCCCATCCGTACCCTCATGCGGGGGGCTCTGTGTCCGTCTCCCCCCCCCTCGTAGCCCCTCTTGCCCCCCAGCCCCGCCAGCCCCCGGCTCTGGCTCAGTTGGTTCCGGTTGATCGGGGTCTTGGTGCCTCGCGGGGTCTTCGGCTTCAGGGGGGCTTGGGCAGCTGGGGAGGGGGGGCAGGGGGATCAGCGGGGTCCCAAAAATCCTCAAAAATCCCCAAAAATCCTCAAAAATCCCCAAATCCAGCCCTGAGCCCCCCCCAAACCCCCATGGTGCACCCATCAACCTGGGGATCCCCAAATCAGCCCCAGGTGGGGTCACACACCCCGGGAGACCCCCCCAGAATCACCTGGACCCCCCCAATCCCCCCAGGGACACCCCCCAGACTCACCTGAACCCTCCCCAGACTCACCTGGAACCCCCCAATCCCCCCAGGGACACCCCCAGACTCACCTGGAGCCCCCCGATCCCCCCTGGAAACCCCTCCCAGACTCACCTGGACCCCCCAGGGACACCCCCAGACCCACCTGGACCCTCCCCAGACTCACCTGGACCCCCCCAAACCCACCTGGACCCCCCCCAAATCCCCCTCTTCATGATTGGGACCCCCCCAGCTCCACCTGGACCAACCCCTCTTGTATCTCCCACCCTTGGGACCCCCCCCCAAACCCCCTGTCCCCCCCCAAACCCCTCCCCAACCCCTCAGGGATCCCCAAACCCCTCCCCATACCCCGGGACCCCCCCAAATCCCCTGTCCCCCCCCCCAAACCCCTCCCCACACCCTCAGGGATCCCCCAAACCCCTCCCCAGACCCCCAGGACCCCCCAAATCCCCTGTCCCCCCCCAAAGGCCTCACCCAGCTCCTTGACGATGGCGGCGAGGGGCAGCCGGGTCAGCGGGTGAATCTTCAGGGGGGCCTTGGCGGCCTTGGGCAGCCGGATGGAGCCTGGGGGGGCACGGGGGGCTCAGGGGGGCCCCCACACCCCCAGACCCCCTGAGAGGGTCCCAGACCCCCCCCCAATTCCTCCTCCCAGCCCCAGAGCTCAGGCTGGGCCCTGACAGTGCAGGGTTGAGGGAGGGTCCCAATCCCCCCTGGTTTTCCCCCATTTCCCCCACTCACACTCAGCCTTGATGGGGATCCCAAACCCCCATTTTTTTTTATCCCCAAACCCCCATTTTTTTACCCCCAAACCTCCATTTTTCCCCATTTTCCCTCATTTCCCTACTCACACTCAGCCTCGATGGCATTGGTGTTGATGGGGACCCCAAATCCCCATTTTTAACCCCAAACCCCTCTCACCCTCAGCCTTGATGGCATTGATGGGGGCGTAGGGATCCCATACACCCCAAACCCCATTTTCTCCCCCCAAACACCATTTTCTCCCCATCTCCCCCCAAACACCATTTTCTCCCCATTTTTCCCCCAAACCCCCATTCTCTCCTCATTTTTCCCCCCCAAACCCCTCTCACACTCGGCCTTGATGGCGTTGGCGTTGATGGGGGCGTAGGGATCCCATACACCCCAATACCCCCCAAAGGAACCCCAAACCCCCATTTTCTCCCCATTTTCTCCCCATTTTCCCCCATTTCTCCCCCAAACCCCTCTCACACTCGGCCTTGATGGCGTTGGCGTTGATGGGGGCGTAGGGATCCCATACACCCCAAGACCCCCCAAAGGGATCCCAAACCCCCGTTTTTTCCCCCATTTTCTCCCCGTTTCCCCCCCATTTTCTCCCCCCCAAACCCCATTTTCCCCCACATTTAAAGCCCCCAAACCCCCATTTTTCCCCCCCCAAACCCCTCTCACACTCGGCCTTGATGGCG